GTCAAAGCACGTAGCTGGAGGGGAGGGGAGGGGAGGGAGAGATAGAGGGGACGAACCCCAACGGACTGGAGCATGCCAAACGTACGTGGTATTCCGTGATGGGAATAGAGGCTGTCAGTGGTGGTTGCCACTGTAGGCGCACTTGCACACTGCCATCAGCGTGCAGACGCCAGATATCATCGGTCAGCTGACGAGGAGGCGAGGCAGGCTTGGGCAGTTGATTAGTCATTCGAACTGGTGGTGAAGAGTCGCCGAAACCACGCGAGCCCTGTGGACTGACGGCTGCTATCCGGTATTGGTACCACCAGCCAACATCAGGGTCACTCAGTCTAGCGCCCGGAATTGTAGTCTAGAGTAGCAAGTACAGAAGAGGTCATCCTCAGCAGCAGTATTAATAGGGAGGGGATTGTAGCTATGCCTCCCAAGTAATCAGCCAGTGGTGATCAGTATGGAGTACTCCTTCAATGAAAATTACTACGATACTGAAATACTTTTACTAGAATAGTTTCCTAGGTCGGACCATAATCGCGCCATTATTCGATAAAATTTTAAGATTAGTAATACCAGTTGAAATTAGAATTCCGTGTGTTTGTGTATTCGTGGTAAAGAGGAAAGGAGGAATGAGCGAGAATAAGATTAATAAACTGGCAGAACGGCTGAATGGTTATTGTTGTTTGCGTTCAGGTTCCCAGATTTATTCATCTGAAAAGCATGACAAAAACTAGTCCGAAATTCAGAACACAATTTCGGTAAAGATGGCTTATATGATCGCGCAAACAACGGCCGACCACAATGCATGTGACTTTTAGCCAAACCCCAGGACAATGAAGTTTAAGATTAAGGTGATGATTAGGGTTAAGTTTAGAACTAGGTTTAGGGTTGGAGTTAGGGTCAGAATTATGCTAAAAGCTCAGGTTTGGGTTTGCATTAACTATGGGGTCTAGGTTTAGGTTTCGGCTAGGGTTAAGGTTACGTTCAGAGTCTACCAATACAAGCGAACATGCGTGTCCCAGGAAGCAATTGAGAAAAAGAAGACTCGATCGCTGGGACAATATGTTTATTCGCCTGACGTTTCGACATCAGTCGCGGATTCATCATCAGAGACATGAGTAGCATAAACAGGTCAGAGTTTGGTTTTATGATAGGGTTAAGGCACGGGAATATTTACCCTTCCTTATATTTATCGCAAGGCAAGTGAGCGGGACTTTTTTATTCCCGCTTCCATAAAAGTTGTCCTTTCAAAAATGTTCCCCAAGAGTGCAGACGGTAACCCAAAGACGTCGAACTATTCTCTTTATCAAAACAGTGATCTGCACGCGTCCTGTCTTAGCGTCTCCGCTCGGAAACGCAGCATCCAGTATATTAGAAACGACCATTGTCGGTTATCTTTATTCACAACTTCGCCACTATTGTAATCTACGCAAACAGGCTTGCTTGAAAGTGCAAAAGTCAACATGAGGTGGTTGTAAGAGAAGTCGAGATTCCTTTGCAGGATTTATGTTCCGCCTAGATC